AGTGTAGACTTGGAGAATTTATAACCCCATGATCTGATAGTACAGAAATCATCAAAACTATTTTGCAGATGATACTGAATGACAGTACTGTATATGACAACATATCACCCTGAATAAAGTGACTATTAATGTAACGACAACATGGATAGAAGTAGATTGATGAATAGTGTGCAGACAAGACAACTAAAGTTGTAGAGCAAAAGAAAAATTAGAAGAACATTTGTTTCCTGTTAACAGAACAAAGCAGCTTTTGCAGGTGTGACTAGCTAAGGCGCTGGGAAGCTATTCATTTTCACAGACCACAAAAGGGCACCAAGAGTGAATAACAAAGCTTTTCATTTTAATTCCCAAGACACTCGTGAGAATTCCTCAGATAAAACCTCCTTCTTCCTCTTTACAAAAAAGTTATGTTCTAAAGTTTTTTTTTTTATTGTAGAAAGCTTAAGAACAACTTAAACTGCTCAGGGCAGCATGTTTCATTAAAAGATATTTCAAATAATGCCTCTGCTCTGAAATATGTTACTGTACGTTTCAGTAACAATAAACCTCATTCCTCACTGCACACAAATGTAATTAATAATTCTCTTGTAATTCATGACAGACGGATAAAAGACATCAGACATTTGCTTTTCCAGAACTGCTTCAAGTTTGGCTTCTTCACATGTTCTCTGTATTCAATTGATTCCTAGTCAAAGTAATCATAATCAATAAGGTGATTTCACCAGCAATAATTTCAAAAAGAAAACAATAGAGGGCAGTAACAACTGAAATCTGTATGTTCGCTATTAATCTTCCTTTTCTGGCAAGTACAGTATCAGTTTTTTTTCTCATATTACCGCAGTCATCAGCTTAAAACCAAACAAGAAAGTCCATTTTAAAAATAACTGCTGTTGCTCAGCAACAGTAAGCCTGCATGCAAATGTTAAGAGGGTTTTTTTTTTTAGATTTTCTATCCTTACTGATTTGGATTTTGAAGAAAAGAAACTTAATGGACCAGTTAAAGCTCCAAGTGGTATATAAGTTAAAATAATAAAACACATCCACGGTTTGGGATATCCAAAGGGTACAACTACTGTAGTAATGGCGCTCGCTTAGAATGTGGGTTGAGCCCTGTGGTCTGGATAACATCATTATCTCAAAGATTTCCCCAGAGATGCAGAAAAGTGAGCACCACTGAGGCAGGTGTTACGGGTCAATAGAAATGCCTGGAATTTACAACATACCTGAGAACTCACAGCGTGTCAGTGACAGAGTCCTGCCATGTACTGTGTTGCCTGGAGGAAGTAAAAGGGCTCGACAATGCACGTTTCACAGGAAAGCTTGCATGACACCCATTCCTGTCGTACTGCTACAATGTAGACTCAAAACCTTCTTTAGAAGGGCCTTTCCTTTACTGGTTCTGTGATTTACCCCTCTGCTCCTACCATATTCTGTACCTCCATCTACTGTCTCCTCTCATTGTGTATTGTTATTATCACTTTATAAGCCCTATACAATTTCTTGCATTAGGAATTTATCTTTTCGCAGACCCCAGCTTGCTCTCCATGAGACACACAGACACACAGACCGGGAGAGAGAATCTTGGGGTCAGAGCACAGGGTCAGCCATTTATACGGCGCCCCGGGAGCAGGTGGGGTTAAGGGCCTTGCTCTGGGGCCCAACGGAGTAGGATTCCTCTGCCAGCCACGGGATTTAGAACCGGCAGCCTAACGTATTGTTTTTTTTTTTTTCGTTTGTTGCTGTCATTCTGTAAAGAGCTTTGAGAAGCCACCTTTAAAGGCGTAATATAACAAGAAGTTTTATTTATTTAAGGTTCAGAACAGTAAGCCAGGTTGCCGACCGGATAGCTGTGACAAATTGGGAGAAACAAAAAAGAAAATAGTCTAACAATTCCAATTCCGAAAAAATACATCTGTGAGACATCAGACATATATTTCCAATATCTGTATCTGAAATTTCTTTGAAGTCTTTTAAAATAACTACCCACTTCAGGTTGATTTAGGGAATACAACACATACAAATTTCTAATAATTCTTAGCAACCTTTCTTACTTATGAAACTTTTTCTGTCTCTGATAGTTATGCCAGCATTTGTAGCCAATCCATTGTACTGTAATGCATTCTCAAGTTTTCTTTAGTCTGGTAACTGGGCTTTTGTTCAGTTGTTTAAAAGTAAGATATACAGTATGAAACAAGCACAGTATGTGGTAACAATAAGGAGATTGGGAGAGCTAATAATTTCTTAAAACCTTAGCTCTTCAGAGACACCTTCCATTTCTCCAAACAATACATTTCTTAGAGCTTAAACAAAAAAACTGAAAAGCAAATTTCTGGGTTTTATAAAAGCACATTTCCGGAAGAGTTTTCTTATGTGTTATTATTTCACTATGTTAAGGACATTACACAGTAGAAACCTAAGATTTAATTTATTCTATTTTGTCGAAGCAAAGGTGGATCAGTCCCTGAATGTTTGCAAAAACCTAAACAATGTTAAAGAGTATCATTACCTAGTTATGTCCAATTTTGCAAACTGTGGGGATTGGCAATGAAAAAGTGTGAGCAAATCTGCATCTCAGCCTTACGAAAGGAAACCAGCACATTTAGTTCATTACTTCTGTCTCAGTGAAGAAACAACAGGCATGCTCTTTCATACAAAGGCGTGCGATGTGTACTTGGCAGGTAGTCTTGCCAAGTTTTCTTTATAATCTCCTATCATGAGGGCAGAAACCCCATGTAGAATCTTACACAACAGGCTATCGTGCATGAACATCTTTATATAAAAACCAGCGAGCTTCGCCTGGTCATTTTTACCCATTTGACGGTTTCTCGGGAACGATATAAATGGCTTGATGACAGATGCCCCAGTGCGAAAAAATTCCACCCGCGCTTGGCTTCCTCCTGCAACCTGGGTGCTTTGAAGGCTTGAAATGTGACATGTTGGTGGATTTATGAAACCATGTCCCCTGCCTCCTGCAGTGACACAAGCTGCGGCAAACTCAAACAAGGGGGCTGAAACCATCTGTCGACGGGTCTGTCATTTCCACATACTAATCTCTGCTATAGTGGACTGCAGATTATTGTTTGTGTTTCAAAGCAGCTTTTACTGGGAAAAAAAAACCACATAAAAATGAGCAAACACAGACTAAATGAATATGATATGCCAGAAGGACAAACAAAACAAGAAGCTTATTGGCAAATCACAGCTCACTACTGACAAAAAATATGCAGAGGGAATACACAGGGGTAACAGGTTAACATCTGATGTGAAAAATGTAATTCTGTGTGCATTAAATCTGAACGTGTTGCTTCCAGTATTATCTATTCTGTTTTATATTACCTTGTAAATCAAGACTAATAAATTATTTTAGCCACACCATAGAGGTACAGTGCTAAGTCCCTGTCAAAAATTATCAGAGGATGTCTTATCAGAGAAAAAATATTACAAACCTCACAAAAAATAAAAAGAAATTGTAGCACCCTTTTTCCACAACTATTATCAGTACTACATCATCCATCATCAGAAAGCTGCGTATTCCTGTTAAGGTTTACAGCAGCGCAGAGACTAGGTTGGAAGCAGAGGGACGATGGATATGAAGGCCATAGCTGGGCACACAAACACAGCATTTAGAGAAAATAATTAACTTAGCTAGGCAGGAAACCAAAGCACCCAAAGAAATCAAACACAGATGCAAAGCGAATGTGCAAATTCCACAGGTAAGGGACCATACTGTAGTTCATAATCAAGCCCTATGACCAATGAGCTGGGCAATATCTTAAACCCCAAAGCTATTTCAAGGAGTATTAAGGTCTGTATCTCACTGAAAACAAATGAAAGCAAAAAAAAGACAAAAAAGCGCAAGTACTTTTTTAGACCCAGGCCCTCCCCCTGAAGGTGCACGTAATAGTACTGTATGCGGTGCTGAAGCACAAGAAGTCTTCATTCTCATCAGAGAATCCCACACCTCTATTAGGATGGCGTTTAATAGGTTTATTGGATTTTGTGATTACTTTGCCAGTGCTTCTCAATATCAATCTCAAGCCCTTTAAAATAAAATGCCACAGAGGAAAGGTAAGCCACATCCACAAACAATACCATATTTAAAATGAAGAAAAATGTTTTTTTTCCCCCAATTTAGATGATCCATATAATTTTGGGTAAAGGAAGCAATTTATTTTATTTTTTTAAGAGAGTCTAATTATTTCCTGATTCAGCCAAGCATTCCATATGCTCCCTTTAACATCACTGCACTGCGACACTGTGACACTGCTGCTTAATACCTGAACCTGCGTGCCTGCTGTTTTTCTTTCACTGGTAGCACAATCGCATGGCCAGTACTGCTACTGCCTATCGGTTCTTACTGTAGGTCATGGGTATGAGCTTTTTCTCTGTGGAGTTTACATGTTCTGCCTGCATTAGCATGGCTTTCATTTTACCTTCCAAAGCCAAGGTGAATAAGTTCCTTGGTGTTTCTAAATTGTCCTTGTGCTTGTGAGTGTCCTGTAATGGACTAGTATCCAGAATTGTAATCCTGTCCTGTGCACTTTCCTTTCAGGGTAGAGTCTAGGCAGCTGCAACAATTACCAGGAATAAATGGCTTTCTGATCATATATGGATGTAGTAAGTAATGAAAAAATATACTTAGGAACAAACACCTGTTAACACACCTGTAAACATACACACCATGTAATCCTATTGCCAAGGTTACTTTTAGTTTGACATTATATATTGTTAATTTGCTTTTTGGGCCACGTGAAAAGTAAAAGTACAGCACTCTCAATCCTTGCTTTAGAAAGATACCTACAGTATATGATGTTCATCTATGACTAATACCTATCTTGACCTTTACATAATAATGAAAATATGTACCTAAAAAATGGCAAAAGAGTGATGTATTGAGAACATCTTTAATCACAAAGCCATGGTCCTGACAGCTAGTAAGGGATTTATATCGTTTATTCAGGCAATGTGCCACACTTAGATATATGAATAAGAAGGGTTACCATGACAGAAATGTGTAGGATGCGCAATTCCTCTTCAGCTGAGTCGTTGGGAGAGTAGTCTGTAGGCGCCATCCCTGGCAGATTCTGGTTGCCGTCCTGGTGATGAATATGAAAGAGCAGGGTGCCATTCTCAAGCCACTGCTGTCTCCAGCGCACCAGGGGAATGTCCTCCGCATTGCCGGAAATTTCTGTGAAAGACATAAGAAGCAGTCCACTTTAACAGCTATTATTAAAATGATGTAGCCATATACAGCAAAACTTGTATTTGAGAAACAAACAATACAGTCACTCCCAACTACGGTGGCCCAGGAGTGCAAAAGGCAAGCAAATAAAACATACAGGATGTGTTGCCAATAAAAAAGATGTGGCACCAGCTGAAAAACGTGGACAAGCAAATTCAAAAGGTGCCATACAAACTAAAAAGAGTAGACATGCAATCTAAAAAATGTGGACATGCACGTTATAAAGTGTGGATGTGCAAAAATTGTGGAAGAGCCAATTAAAGAACCAGGACTTGTAATCTTAAAAAATGTGGACATGCAAATTAAAAGGCATGGGTGTGCAAACTAAAAGATGTTGACAGGCATTCTAGTTTAGTAGCCAGGAGGTTGTTTCACAGAGAGAAATTACTCAGTTAACAATATCATTTTTGGAAATGTTAACAAAATTCAGGATTTTCGGTTTCACAAAGCAAGATTGAATTGTATTTGTTTGTAATGCATTGTTTGATTTGCTTGTCTTTTGCACTTCAAGGCCACCATATCTAACAGATAGTTACTCGAAATATCAGACTTAAGGCCAATGCCTTACTGTACATCTATCCATCTTCTAACCATTTCAGCCAGAGTCTATCGCAGCAAGCAGGGGGCAAAAGACAAGATACAACCTGGACAGGACACTAGTCAATCACAAGGCAGACACACAGACACATACTGCTGGGCCAGTTTTCCCAGAAGTCAAGCATGTTTATCAGTATGTTTTTGGACTGTGGGAGGAAACGCACATGAACACGGGAAAAACATACAAACATCACACAGATAACACCTCAGACATTGAACCCGGGACCCCAGCCCTAGACGGCACAATACTAACCACTCCACCACCATTCCACCACTATGTCTTACAGGTTTTTTTTAAATCATAAATTATTTTGCGAAAACGATTTTCCCATTTCTTTCTTTTTCTTCTTCATACTTTTTCTAAACATCCAAAAAGCTGTGTGAATTGATTCACTTTTTTTTTATTTTGAACTTATTAAAAACCAACATCTGAATCTCGTGTTTTTCAGATCTTCAAGGATCAGTATCTACCAATATGACTGTGTGTCATACAACAAAGTTCTACATCTGGCTTGAGTGAAACCAATATATTATGTCCAGTATCCCACCGATTTGATCTTCTTTTTTTAACATAATGCTATTAAGCTTACTGTTTAAGCTGCATAAGCCATAGTCATTAATATTTTCTGCATTTTTTTTATATGAAGGAATGTTTACATTACAACACGACTTTTATCTGCAAAGTATAAATAATACAGCATGACATATGCTGAAGTCTGACTAGACGTTGTTTTAGCAATGAACACAAGGGAAACTGTTCTAAAGGCAACTAGGGGATGTGTTTCACAAAGGCAAAACGATTCTAGCCTCTCAAACAAAAAAGATTTCCTCAATTTGCACACAATTGCTTTATACAGTACAATTAAACTAGATGTTTTATCTACAGTACTAGGAAAATTAACTTGCTACTATAATTTTTTTCCTTTCAATGTCTCTAAGAGATTTGACTTTTGCCCCACATACAGTATGTATACATACTGTACTGTATAATACAGTACAGTGTTTTTATCTTTAATAAGGTAGAAAATACAATTTCTGAGAATTATCATTAGTCAAAAAGATTTACACAAATTGCAAGGAATTGGCAGTCAAAAGCCATGATGCATTACTAAAGTCACAGTATTCATGGATGTATAAACTGTGGTATTTTAAAAGTATTGTAAGCAATATTTTACCATCTTTATGCACCTTCCTGCATAGCTACCTAATAATGAAATTCAACTATATCATCTTCAACAGGCCTACAAAAACAATGAATAGGCCATGGATCATGACTGAAGAAAATACAGCTACAGTGTATGTTTTCATCAGCCATAATCACAGACCAACGATTGTAAAATGAGTTGAATGGACCTGATCATGATACAATTTATCGTTCACAAAATCGAGAATAGAAATCCTTGGGTAGACTGTCTTTCAAAACAAATACCAATTGGTAATATTGAGACTTTTATTTTCTGACATACAAACAATATGACCTAATGAATGCGTATTTCCTTCTACTGTACATGTGTTACATTTTTCATTTTTAATTTAGGAAAACAGTATTGAATGTCATTTTTACGATCTTTTCTGTTCAGCAAACCTTGCCTGTAGGTTAGGTCTAATTGGTGCTCTTAGCAGATGTCAGAAGTGATTCTTAACCAAAATGGACATTTCTGGCAGGGCAATGCTTTATCTTGTCACAGTGAGCACACTACACATATGAACTCTGGCACTGTCTTTTCTGAAATCTACAGAGAAGGCATTTTTGATAGTGAAAGAAGACAGACATTGTCAACCACATTTCAAGTGTCAATGGGGATAGTCGGAAACTAAGCAGCACAATTGTCTTAAATATGACATTGTAACAGGCAGTTACCGGGACTGGCAAGGATACACTGAAAAGCCAAAGGAAATTAAAATGAAGTACAGCCAAATACAATACGTACTTACTGTACAAAGGGTAGCTGTTCTTTTTTAAAAAGGCAAGCAAAGTTAAATTCTGATAAGACAGGAATGCATCTCATGCATATAGACCATACTGAGAACATATAAAAATACAAAGTACAAAGCCATGAAAGCACATTTATGTGATTAAAGGGACGAGTGACGAAATAGTCCGAAAATTTCAAAAATATGATGGAGACAGGTTAGAAACACACAGTTTACAACAACAAAGAATTACAATCCTTGCAAAACTCTCAAACCTGTCTTTGCTAGACCACAGGGTAGAGCTGGAAGGCACAACACAGACAGGCAGTTCTATTTGTACTTATTATAGACAGCAGTGAGCAGTTAGCAGACCACACCATTTAGTTCACATTTTCCTGCTCTGTCAGTAGCTGCCTTCTTACTTTCATAGCTTCTGGTTAAACAGGCAAAGAGGTTCAAGAGCATATCTCAAAATACAGAAATATCAATTTCTGCTCCAGGCAAACTATTTTTTTTACACACAAGTTGAAATCACTGTCTGAAGGTCAAACACATATTAAACTGTAGAAAAGCAGGCTAAATCACTTTCAGTTCAAATTTTAAGTGATTACCTCAAAGCCACCTTCAGTATGTTTAATTTAAAAATGGTATTCAAATTATATAATTCTTCATTCTAATCTGCATTATTCAAACAGTGGGAAAGTCCACTTTTTAACAGTTTGAGCGAACACCAATGAATTATTGTATTGACAAAATCATCTGCATTTGCAGGAAATGTTTTTCTTTGTTGAAAACAAGTTAGCAGCAGCATTTCCCTAGAATAATGGATGCTGTTCATTACTTAATTCTTAAAAAAACACAACTTAAAAAAAGGTGATAAATTTCTCTCCTTATTGACCTAAGATTACAGGAATCAATCAACAAAAATATATTTCCTATTAAGATTTCAAGGTTTCAATAAATGAAGTTTAACTTGTAATTTGATATACAAATTCATTAAGTTGGGCAATTACTTTGGTAATTTATCAGCTCTTTCAAAATGTATCAACTAATTGCTTGCGTTATCAGATACATTCTGGAATTAAAAATCGTTCCACCCTAATAGAGCAAGATGAAATTCCACAGGAAGTCACAAAACCCTCCAGTACATTTTTATCTTTTGGAATAGCACTCAGATTACATAACCATTTTCTTACTGGAAAGCCGCTCACTTGTAAAATGTCAACCTAATAATATTTTTCCTTTCAAAGAGGAGTTTTGTGCAAAAACCCTTAAGACTTCACAGTTAATCGCATTAGCCATTCGGTGTGATTTGTGCAATAATAACATTAATTTAAAAACAAGTAAATAAGACCTGATTGTTAATGTCATAATCAACAAGACCATTTTAAAGGAAAAAGCAGAGGTTAAGTTTCTCTTGACTTTCCCATGTGGAATTTATTTCACTTGTTCCTTTGAACAAGTTGACATGACTCCCCATTTTAACCTTATCAATGTGTACAGTCACCCAAACTGCCTGAAACAAAGTTACTCTAAAAATACACTAATCATATTGATTTACGCTTCATTTTGCTTAAATTAACATTTTAATTAATGCCAGAACCAAAACAAAAGTACACTTGTTGAACCACTTGCTAGGGGTGACTCCAATTCCACGTTTTATTCCACTAATTGAGCCAGGCATTAACATTCAAGCACATCAGACAAAAGCACAGAAAGTCAGACACTACAGTTTTTTTTACAGTAATAGGAGGAAAACAGAACTTAATGTGTAAAATTCCAACACTAAGTCAATTATGTCACAAGATTAACAAGCACCCTAGTTATTGAATCAGAAACACAATGATCAAAAACCAAGATGATCTGCAACACAGTTTTACTGATACATGAAAAGACACACAACACGCACTCAATATTGAACACCTCTGAGTGAGTTACCCCAAGACAGCCTGTAAAAGCAAGTGGTTTACTTTATCCAAAGTGGTTTAAGGCAACTGGATTGAACAAATCTTTTCTCACAAGTTTTAATTAAAAAAAATAAAACATAGGTTTTTTACCTACATAAATGAGTAATTAATCCAAATATTTCTGACATATTATTTTTAATTTTCCATATTCAAATGGTTAGCTATAACTATCACTGACATCTGAGTTAAGTCTGTATTATGTAACTTTTGTCCTCTATTCATAATCATAGGGCCAAGTTTTATTTTCGCCAGTGACTAAGAATCGGGTACAGGTTATATACTGATCCACTTTATTAAAAAAGGCTAATTCACAGAGCCTGAAATGCAACCATAAAAGAGTCTGTAACACAATACCAGTGAAAATAGATGAAGATGGTAAAACCATGAAGTATTAATAAACAAAACAACAAAATACCTTTCAGGAGAATAGAAAAAGGAGTAGTACAGTATGTGGTATTTTTGTTGTAC